GCTCTCTGTCCTTTAGAGCCAGCCCACTCCCTCTGCTCTCTGTCCTTTAGTGCCAGCCCACTCCCTCTGCTCTCTGTCCTTTAGAGCCAGCCCACTCCCTCTGCCATCTGTCCTTTGGAGCTAGCCCACTCCCCCTGCTCTGTGTCCTTTGGATAGCTCACTCTCCCTGCTCTCTGTCCTTTCGATAGCCCACTCCTCATGCTCTCTGTACTTCGGATAGCCCACTTCCCCTGCTCTCTGTCCTTTGGATAGCCCACTCTCCCTGCTCTCTGTCCTTTGGATAGCCCACTCCTCCTGCTCTCTGTCCTTTGGAGCTAGCTCACTCCCCCTGCTCTCTGTCCTTTGGAGCTAGCCCACTCCCCCTGCTCTCTGTCCTTTGGCGCTAGCTCACTCCTCCTGCTCTCTGTCCTTTGGAGCTAGCCCACTCCCCCTGCTCTCTGTCATTTGGAGCTAGCTCACTCCCTCTGCTCTAGATCTGCCACTGGGCACAAATGGGCAAAATAATGATTTTCGGGCCCATCTGACACATCTACTGGCCTGAGTTTGCCCTTACCACGGAATAGCCTTAGTCTGGTTATAGTCAGAAAATACAGTTTTCAGGTCTAGAGTTAACCAATGCGGATTTTATTCAATAGACTAATTCTGAAGATGGCAGGGTTAGAATTTGAACAAAAATATATTAGAAAATCTTACTCAATAATGCCTCTCAGAAATGTGATTTCTCTCAATAATGCAAGGCAAGGTTTTTGTAATATGTTATTTACATGGTCGCCACTTTTGGCACCATTTAAGCAGTTAGTGTTGCATGTATTATAGTGCCATAGTGATTGTGTCAAAGTTTTCATCCGTGTGTACATTTAGACAGTTGTTTCTTATGGTTCATAAATGCCTTCAGTTGACAAATTCTTGAAAATGTGGTAGACTGTTGAATTGTCCTTGAAACTGAAGTATTGATGTCTGTATGAACCATGTAATCTCCCAGCTTAAAGATTGTACACATTGTGACTTACGTGTTGTGACATGTTAGTCTACAGTGAAGTTGGGCACATGTTTAGAGCAATAGACAAATGTGGTGGTGGAAATAAATGTGCTTTTTCTTGTTTTTAGCTTTTCATCATTCCAAAGTTTTGGTGGAAGTGGAGGCGGAGGGGGAAGTAAGTGTTGTGGATACTTGATGATAATTAATTTTTGGACTTTGGTTTAAATTTTACGGTAGATGGCAAACCAGTTGGATCTGTTTCAGTAGTTTTTTTTATTACTAGCCTTCATAGCCAGGCTCACTCGCCTACCCAAGCATATCCCAGCTGGGAGGAGTCTAGGGAAATCACCGCCCATGGAGTTCTCCCTATTCTGTAGGGTCATGTGATGACCTCGTGGTTAATGAATCGGACTCCAGATTGAGCAGTCCAGGTTCATGGCGTGGTGTTCTTGAGCAAGACACTTTACTCTCATGGTGCCTATGGGTCTCCACCCAGCTGTATAATTGGGACACTGGCAAATTTAATACTGGGGGTAGCCCTGAGATGGATCACCATCTTATTCAGGAGAGAGTAGAAATGTTTCTTGTCAGTCAGTGCTACAGTAACTGGGATAAGCTCTGGCACAACGGACCACTTGACCCAAGGCAGAATTTACCTTTCCTCCCCGTTCTCTTTTAAGCTCAGTTTGTGACTCCTGCATGAAAGCAAAAGCCTGACCATGCAGGTTAGGTTATAATTAACAGTTATTCACCAAAGTGGAGGTGAATAGTGGTGGATATTTACAGAGCTGCAAAGCAGTGAGTTAAATATCCACCCGTTGTACCAATACTGAGGTGAATAATTGTTTTAGTATATACCACACAAGTTGAATAATCAGTGTCCTTATCCATTCAATTTGCTCCTTGGTAACCGAAGTGAAACGGGAAGCCATTTCAAAGTGTGGTGGATAGAAAACACATGACCCACTCCTTCCATTTGGCACAAAAGTGAGTGACCCACCCCTAAACGAAGGTTAAAAATCACATGACCCGCCCCCTATAAATTGTGACATGTTTGGTTGCATAATCCAACAAAATCACATTTTGTGTTTGAAATTGCGGTAATTACGTGTTAGATATACTTCTTACAGCGGTTATCAATCACACGCGACCTCCAGCGCAAAAACGTCTTGACAAAACCTGAGTTTTGGTGGATTTCAATCATCTCCGTCTCCTTGCCGACTGTATGCAAAATTTACCTGAAAAAAAGTCTGAAACCTTGCAGCGGTCCACTCGTAAAAATCATCATTTTACTTTCGGTATGTACGGCTTGCTCACTAAATATATCGGCATTAAATATTCCTTGAAATCTATAAATGGAGACTTTTGTCGGGTTTTTCAACGGCCATTCGCAAACATGAATGACCCCTAGATCAAGCAAATCTGAACTTGAGCAAACAAATTATTTCTGCACGTATTTTTCTTGGGGCTACGGACTAAACTTTATTACCTTACAAAATTATAAGGTTTATAAGAAGTTTAGGTCTTGTTCAGTCCGTAGCCCCAAGGCAAATACGTGCAGAAATAATTTGTTTGCGTGTAGATTTACTTGCACTCGGGGTCATTCATGCATGTGAATTAATGGCCGTTGAGAAACCCGACCCGCCCGTCTTCAGTTATAAATTTCAAGGAATATTTAATGCCAATGCATTTAGTGAGCTAGCCGGTCATACTGAAAGTAAAATGATAATTTTTACGAGTGGACCGCTGCAAGGTTTGAGACTGTCTTTTTCCGGTAAATTTTGCATACAGTCGGCAAGGAGACGGAGATGATTGACGTCCTCCAAAACTTAGGTTTTGTCAAGACGTGTTTGCGCTGAAGGTCGCGTGTGATTGATAACCGCTGTAATAATAATACTAAAGCATCTAAAAAATAATACTGTTTTCCTTTACTCTTGCAACTTTAAGTGATGTCTGTAAACTCTGAGGACTCCAACCTCGCAGTGGGTTGAACAGTGATTCATCCAGAAAAAGGCTGTAGTGAGTCCTGGGACTAGACTTCTTAGCTTTCGTACAGATTTTACAATACACGCAAGTGTCATCTCTATTGTACACCACCCAAGTGTTCTTTTTCAACCATGGCTCGAAAAGGTTTCATCCTTTGGAACTGGAAGGAGTTATCTCTGTTGTCGATTGTGTCAAATGTTTGCCAATTGCTGTGAAAAAACCCCCAGGATGACCCACCCCCACGTGTGGCTGAAAATTGAACGACCCACCCCTTACCAAGGGCTCAAAAACTGATGAACCACCTCCTCTCTGCTCTGCCCCCCCTCCCAATACTTTTTACTAGTCCCTTAAAGAAATTGTTTATAGAAGTGTTCCAGTAATTATTATTTTTTACCAGTTGAAACTAGGACAAAATAATTTTTCCAAATTTTCCAAACAGAAGTCGAAATCTATGGCCTGTTGCTTGTTCTAATTTTTATTTCCCTTTCTCCATTCAGGAAATTTTAAATCAACATCGACATCAACTAAAGTTGTCAATGGAAAGAAAATAACTACAAAGAAGTAAGAGTTGACTTGTGTTGACCTAGTGCTTTTTATTTCTTCATCAATTGGTCTTGTGCATGATTACGCCAATCATGTGTATGATTGCACCACATGCTGAAAATTCACCCCCATCCCTCGTTTACACAAAATTTTCTAAAACTTCCATATGTAGCACCTTTATCTTGTTTTCACATGGGAATACTTTTCACGTTTGCTGCTTTGGGAATGAGTTTATGATAAAATTTACAACACACTGAGTCACTTTATGCTATGGAAACCGGGTCGAGTTTTGGTACTTGTGGGTCACTAAACTGGTGCAGACTTCACGTGCCTAGTGGAGTGGCAGGGGGGCATATAATAGTCTGCAGCTACTTAAGCGTATGTGCATTTGGACATCTTTTGTGAAATTTGCATAAGACATGTATATAGATAGTTCAAAGTTGTTGTAAATGTTTCTGGATCTATCTCCTTGGGTTGGTGGGAAAGAGTGCAGGTTGGGAGATGGTGGTGGGGTGGGGGGGTGAAGAAGACAGGAGTCTATTTTAAAATTGAAACATGAGAATGTGAAAGAGGGAGGGGAATAAAAAAGTTATGTGATATTCACTCAGATTCATGTACTGTACCTATTTTTTGTAACAGGATTGTTGAGAATGGAAAGGAAACTGTAGAAGAATGGGAAGACAATATCTTGAAGAGGAGACTTGTCGACGGCACATTACAGCTTACAAACTAGAAAATAATGCACACTAAATATGGGCCTTAAATAATGCACACTATGGGCCTTAAATGAATAAGAAGAGTGTAGACTGGAAACCCTCTGGTTGCTTTCAATTGAAATGTGGCAGGGAAAAAAGCAATCACTGGCCAAAAGTTTCTTTTAAGTTATTGGTTTAAATATTTTTTTTTATACAGATATTGAGCGTAGTTTCAGGATTGTAGATGTCTCAACTGAACATTTTCTAACCGACTTTTTTCTAAACTGTTGCTTTAGACCTTTCCTCTTTCACCCTGAGAGTCAAGCAAATCTCTGTAGGCGTGACACTGGTGTGTGACGATTGATCTCTGTAGCCGTGACACTGGTATGTGACGATTGATCTCTGTAGGCGTGACAAAGTGTGTGACAATTTAAAGAACTGAAAGCTGCTAAAAACCACAGTATCAAGCAGAGTACTTCATATATGGGGTAGCAGTGTGTGTACCAAAGCAGCACTCTGGGGAGTAAACTAGGTTGCTGAGTTCAAATGAATAAACACAAGTTCTTTAATTTGTCTTTCTTCAATTCGACTGTCAGTGAACTAGTTATGACTAGTGATATCACGTAGAAAATTTCAAGGACGAAATAGAGCAGTCACTATTTGGATCAGTCTGTCTCGTGTCTACAGGTAGATCACATTTCTGGGAAAAAAAAAACGATCAATTCCCACTTTGTGCAGCCACAAAGCTTCAACATGTAATAAACCCAACAAAAAAAAAACTTACTGTTTTTTCACAGATGATTGCTATGGTAAATTGCACCTTGCAGATATTTTGAAAAAAAATGAAAACAGCAACAGCAATAACAACGACAACTAAACAATATGTATGTAAATCCAGAGACCCATAATGAGGTCATGGTGAATATAAATGTACCTTTTACCACTATTTTTGGTAAGGAATGTAAATATTAGCCCTGTGAGAAGTAGGGGGGACATATGTTGCTATTGAAGACAACACGGCGTAGACTGGGTTCAGCCCAAAATTACAGTGTTTGCTTTTGCATGCCTGAAAGCGTGAGTGTTGTTCAAACGCACTCAAATCGCAGTAAAAACAAAACGTTCACAATTTTCACGTCTAATGAAACTGTTATCATTCTAAAATATAGATTTAGGCCAGCGTTGTTCAGAGCCCGATTAAGGTAATTCCTCTGAAATAAAAGTGACAATAGATTTTTGTTCAAACGTTGTCCACTGAGTATTTGTCATATGATAACTTCAATTTTGAAATAAAAAAAGGGGTGCCCATGCTCATTAAGGAGCAGTGAGGCATTGAAAATACCCCATTTTGGCATTATTTAATGCTTATTATAAGAACCCATTCCCAGTAATTGTAAAATCTTTGAACACAGACTCATAAGAACACGCATTAAACTACAGTCAATACATTGTGTCGGACACAAATAAACATTTTAAGTTTGATTCAAGCAGAAAGTTAAATCCTTGGTTAAAAATTGGAACCAAATTTCTTGACGTGGTTACCGACTGCAAAATAGAAAAGACCACAGTGTATCTGCTATCTTTCTTATTTATTCAATTTTCAGCAATAGAAATTAGATCAGTCTTTTCTCACGCAAAGCTTATGATTAGTTGTCTACAATGACTGGAAAAAAACTTGGGGTGCCCGTACTCGTTGGTGAGCTAGAGCCATTTTTCAACTGACAGAGCTCAATATCAAGGCAAATCCGTCATGTTTTCAATGTGCGCGTGCACGAGCCCGTGCTAATGACGCCATAAATTATGCGCAGTAAGGATGCGCAATGCAAATGTGAGGAATGACCTTAAGCTAACCCAGGAAAAGGTAGAATTTTGGTTTGAGTTTTGTAACTTTGCGGCGACGGTTCTGTATATTGTTTGGCTTTCGGTTTTGAGTTTTAATAATCACCATATACACAAAACAAAGCAAAAAATATTTGTTCAGAAGAAAAAGTTATGATTCGGTTAACTTTTAATCCTGGGTTAGCATTAACTGGCTTCTGAACAATCCTGCCATGTTTTCAACAAGTTAGCCTGACATGAGCCCGCGATCCAATCGCAAAAACGGTTCGCCCAGGGAAAAGAGGGGGTCACACTTGGACAAAAGGATGCAACTTCAAAAAAGAGTCACACTTAGAAAAATGGATCACACTTGGAAAAAAGAGTTACACCTGAAAAAAGGTTACACTTCGAAAAATGGGTCACACTACAAAAACTGGGTCACGTTCGGAAAAATAGGTTACATTTGGGAAAATGGGTCACACTTGTAAAAATGGGTCACATTTGGAAAAAAGAGTGACACTCGGAAAAAATGGGTTACACTTGGAGCAATGGGTAACACGTGGAAAAATGGGTCGCACTTTGAATAAAATGGGTCACACTTGGAAAAATTGGTCACATTTGGAAAAATGGGTCACACTTGGAAAAATAGGTAACACTTGGAAAAATGGGTCACACTTAGAAAAGTTGTTTCCACCGCTTAGAAAAATGTGCCACATTTTCAAAGACGGGTTACATTTGGAAAAAAGCTCACACTTGAAAAATGGGTCACACTTGAAAAAAAAGGGTCAAACTTGGTAAAATGCACCACACTTCGAAAAATGGGTCACACTTGGAAAACTGGGTCATTTGGAAAAATGGGTTACATTTGGAAAAGAGGAGTTCACACTTTCAAAAACGGGTCACATTTGGAAGAATATGTAACACTTGAAAGAATGGGTCACTTAGAAAAGTGGGTCACACTTGAACAAATGGGCTCACACTTGCAAAAATGGGTCACACTTGTAAAAAGGAATCAGACTCTGAAAAAAGGTCACTTGGAAAAGAGAGACACTTATGAAAAAGGGGGTCACACTTGAAAAAATGGATCACACTTAAAAAATAGTCACCTTAAAAATTGGATCACACTTATAAATATGGGTCTAGCTTGTAAAAATGAGACAGCTGGAAAAAGTGGTCAAACTTTGAAAAATGGGTCACACTTGGAAAAATGGGTCACACTTGGAAAACAAATCAAACGTGGAAAAAAGGGTCACATTAGCAAAAATGGGTCACACTTGGACAAAAAGGGGTCAATTGGAAAAAGGGGTTCCACTTGGAAAAATGGGTCACACTTGAAAAAATGAGTCACTTGGAAAAATGGGTCACACTTGAAAAGATGGGTCACATTTGGAAAAATGGGTTACATTTAGACCAGCCACACGTCGAAAAATGGGTCACGCTTGGAAAAAAGTGGCACACTTGTGAAAAAGGTCACACTTGGAACAATGCGTCACACTGGAAAAAAGTATCAAGCTTGGAAAAATGGGTCACACTGAAAAAAGTCACACATGGAAAAAGGCTCACACTGTACTTGGAAAACTGTGTCACACTGAGAAAAAAAAGTTCACACTTAGAAATGTGGATCCCACTTGGAAAAATGGGTCACATCTTAACAAAAGGGGTCACACTTGAAAGAAAGGGTCACTTATGGAAAAAGGGGATCACATTTGGAAAAATTGATCACACTTGCAATAAGGGTCAAACTTGTAAATATGGGTCTCACTTTGAAAAAACACTTGGAAAATGGCTCACAATTGGGAAAAGGTTCATATTTTGGAAAATGGATCACAGATGTAAAAGTGGTTTACACTTGTCACACTTGGAAAAAAGGGTCACTCCTGAAAAAATGGGTCACACTTTGGTAAATGAATCACACTTGGAGAAATGGGTTGCACTGGAAAAAAGGGCGGTCACTCTTACAAAAAAAGATCACTTATGGAAAAATGGGGCTCACACATGGAAAAAGGTCACACTTGGAAAAATGGGTCACACCTGGAAAAGGACTCAAAACTTGAAAAGAGAAATGGGAAAATGGATCTCAGTTGAAAAACTGGGTCACAGTGAAAACAATTATTCATAAAAAAACGAGGGTCACTCCTGGAAAAATGGGTCACATTTTGAAAATGAATCACACTTGGAAAAATGGGTTACACTGGAAAAAGAGGGGTTTACACTTGGAAAAAAGGATCACAAATGGGTGATACTTGGAAAAAGGGTCACACTTGGAAAAATGGGTCGCAAAGAGAAAAAGGGGGATCACACTTGGAAAAAAGGATCCCACTTGAAAAAAGGGTCACACTTGCAAAAATGGATCACACTTGGAAAAATGGATCACACTTGGAAAAAGGTCACACCTGGAAAAATGGGTCACACTTGAAAAACGGGTGTCACACTTGGAAAAAGGCTCACAATTAGGAAAAAGGGGGGTCACACTTGGAAGAAGAGTCACACTTGGAAAAATGGGTGACACTTACAAAAGTGGCACACCTAAAAATTGGGTCACCTTTAAAAAATGGGTCTTACTTGGAAAAATGGGCCGCCCCGGGAAAAAGGGGGTCACACTTAGAAAAGTGTCAAACCTGGAGAAATGCGTCACGCTTGGAGAAATGGCTACGCTTGGAGAAAAACTGAGTCACACTTGGAAAAATGGGTCACACTTGTAAAAAAGGGGCCAGACTTTGAAAAAAGGTCACACTTGGAAAATAGAGTCACAATTAAGAAAAGGGGGTCACACTTGGTAAAAGGGTCACACTTGAAAAGATGGGTGACAATTGGAAAAATGGGTCACACTTTAAAAAAAAATAGTGTCACCTGAAAAATTGGGTCACACTTAAAAAATGTGTCTTACTTGGAAAAATGGGCCGCCCCGGGAAAAAGGGGGTCACATTTAGAAAAATAGTGTCAGACCTGAAAAATTGGGTCACACTTTAAAAATGGGTCTTACTTGGAAAAATGGGCCGCACTGGGAAAAAGGGGGTCACACTTAGAAAAAATTGTCAAACTTGGAGAAATGCGTCACGCTTGGAAAAAACTGGGTCACACTTGGAAAAATGGGTCACAATTGGAAAAAAGGGGTCACACTTGGGGGAAAGGGGTCACACTTAGGAAAAGGGGGGATTACAGTTGCAAAAAAGGGTCACACTTGGAGAAATGGATTACACTTGCAAAAAAGGGTTGCCCTTGGAAAAATTTGTGACTCTTGGGAAAATGGGTCACACTTGGAAAAAAGGTGACACTTGAAAAAAAGGTGTCAGACTTGGCAAAAAGAGTCACACTTGGAAAAAGGGGTCACACTTGGAAAAAACTGGTTCACACTTGGAAAACTGAGTCACACTTGGAAAAATGAGTCACGCTTAGAAAAAATGGCGTCACACTTGCACAAAAGGGGGTTACGCTTGCAAAAAAGGATCACAGTTGAAAAATGGGTCACACTTTCAGAAAAGGGTTACACTTGGAAATATGGGTCACACTTGCGGAAATGGGTTACACTTGGACAAAAGGGGTTCTCACTGAGAAAAATGGTCACATTTTGAAAAAAGGGTCATACTTGGAAAAATGGGACACACTTGGAAACGTTGGTGACATTCGGAAAAATGAGTCACACTTGGGAAAAAAGTGTCAAACTTGGAAAAATAGGTCACACTTTTAAAATTGGGTCACACTTGGAAAAATAGGTCACACATTTTGAAAATTGGGTCACGCTTGGAAAAAGGAGGGTCACACTTTGAAAATGGGTCACACGTTGAAAAATGGTTCACCCTTAGAAAAAATGGGTCACACTTGGAAAAATGGGTCACACTTGGAAAAAAGATTGCACTTGGGGAAATGGGTGTTTCTTGGACACCAATAATTATATTCATTTGTTATGTTAAGAACAGCAGTAAAAGCTAATCATGTATATGGAAAATGCCTTTTCCACTTGTTTATGTATTCATGGCTAATGCATGTATATTTTGACTTTTTAGTTTGAAGATCCTATTCATGATGTTTTGAAACTAGTGTTCACATAGACCTTGGCACAATACTAATGAACAATTCCCTGCTTAGCAACGACGGGCTCGGTTCTCCGTCAAAGAAAGTCGGGAGCTTAAATAGTCTATTTGTTTACCTCAATGTTTCCAATTGTTTTGTTTTCTTTGAGGAGGGCTGGCGGGAGGGGGTTTACCAGCCGCATCAAACGACCTTCTACTTACTTTTGAGTTAAAAAAAAATTATTTCTACATTTGGTTTTAAAATTTTACATCATAGTGAGTTTGAGATTTCACTTTCGGCATTTACATTCCAGAAGAAGATTTTGAATTACTCTATGTCAGAGCATGCTTGGATAAAGGAACATTTTAGCACGAGGTTGGAGATTTAATGTTTTTTGGGCATTGTTCGTTTAATTTTCGGTTTTGGCATTAAGAGGTATTATCAAGTTATGCTGTTTGTTTGATTTAACTGAATTTTGGATTCGTTTTTTTCTTGGCATGTGGCAGTGATGGGAGAACAAGGCAGATTGCCCCTCTTCCACACAGCATTTAGAAAAAGGCTCCTCCGCAGCCGTTTTTTGGGATATCACGCAACGCTTGGGAGCGTCGCGTGACCGTCCCAAAAATCGGCTGCGGAGGAGACTACACAGCATTGTGGTCTAAAGAAAACCAACGCTATTACCAAAGACTACTACTTCCAGTTAACAATTAGATTATTTACGAGGTGATAAATTTTTTTTTTTTTTAGAATTGAAGGGTCATCTTTATTTACACATTTGGCTTTTATTATTATCAGTTTCCTTAACTTTTTTTTTTTTAATTTAATATTTTTACTTTATTTCCACACTAACAGACCAAAAAAAAAAACACTACATACAATGAAAAATACTTACAATACAATGCTATAGTACAACATTTATCTACTACTTACTTGGTTATAGTTACAGTACTTACATTCCAGAAAACTTTTCCCCCTCCCCCTATTGTATGTATATGATATTATTTAGGCACGATTAACCCCTTTTACAGTTTTTACAATAACCTCTTGGTTTTCTACCTTACTTAAAAGAAAAAAAAAACCGCTGATAATTTCACATTTCTTATATTTCTACCAAAAAAAAAGCTATTTATTACAATATTTTTGTCCTTTTTTCTCTTTACTAGTTACCACACGCTGTTACATAATGCTTGTGCACACTTTCATGTAATTCTTAACGACTTAATGATTCACATTACTTATATTTTTACCAAAAAAAAATAATGCTATTTATTACAATTTTTTTTTTGAGTAGTTACCACACGCTGTTACATAATGCTAGTGCACACATTTTAACGACTGAAAGATTATGTTTCTAGTTGATTTGAAATATTGTGTCTAGATTTGGGGAAGCATGCTCATTATAAAAAGCGTGTACAAGACAAGAAACAACAGAGAAAAGGGAAAAGGAACAAGGACACATAAGAACACAAACTACTAAGGAGGCCGCCAGTCCAGGTGTAAGGTTTTGGAAAAGTAAAGAGTAAAATTGGAAAGAGAATTGAATGGCAAAAGGGGAGCTGCTAAAAGAAAGAAGTGGATTAAAGTCACAGTTCATTTGAATAGATACCATTTCGAATTGTATTTCTTAACAGTGTTTTTCTTATAAGCATAACCTTTTTCGATTTCTTGACGCTTAAGGAAAGTTTGTGAAAATACTTGTAAATTCGGGAGATTATTCTTTATTTTCGATGAATAAATGTGATATCNTACTGCTATTTATTTGTTTGTTTATCACTGTGCAATGACTTAAGGCTGGTTTCCAGATGATCGCAGACGATCGCAGACGATCGCGGATCGCAAATCGCAGATCGCAGACGATCGCAAAGACATTCGAATTGCATTTCTTAACAGTGTTTGTCTTATAGGCATAACATTTTTCGATTTCCTGACACTTAAGGAAAGTTTGTGAAAATATTTGTAAATTTGGCAGAGTATTCTTTATTTTCGATGAATAAATGTGATACCTGCCAATTAGAAGTGCATGGTGTAGAAGTATATCCTCTGTACTATCAACTAGTCCCAGGCAGATTGGTAGGGTCAAAGAAAAGTTCTGTGGCTTTATCTGATGCTGTATCAACCAGTGTTGGATGTTTTGCCAAAAGGTTTGAACGAATTCACAGTCCCAGAAGAGATGAATCAGGCTTTCTTTTTTTTGTTCACAGAAAGTACATATGTCTGTTAAAGAGATGCCTATTTTATAGAGATAATCATTGGTTGCAATTCTTCTGTGAAGAAGCTTAAATTGGAAAGTCTGAAGTTTGGTTTCTTTCGTGCAATAGAAAGGCAAAATATATGACTTATCCCATTCTATGAAGTTTTCGTAATTTTCGCAGTCAGCTATCCATTTACTTTGGCTTTTATCAGGTGATGTAGTGATTCCTTTGACAATTAACTTATACGCCTCATTACAAAAGATTGAGGACGATAGTAACTTTTGACTACGAGTAAGTTGGTCTTCAGAGTTCATCGTAGCCTGGTCCTGAAANGATGTAGTGATTCCTTTGACAATTAACTTATACGCCTCATTACAAAAGATTGAGGACGATAGTAACTTTTGACTACGAGTAAGTTGGTCTTCAGAGTTCATCGTAGCCTGGTCCTGAAAAGACTTTTTTAATTTTGCCAGGGCGGAGACTATACCATGGTACCTTAAAAAAGTGGTATTAACTTTGTAGCGAGTTTTAGAATCCTTATACTTTAAAAAGTCAAACTTTTGATCTAGCAAGTCTTTGGCCTGATTAACTCCCGCGCGAGACCAATCAGAATAAAAGATTGGCCGGTTTTCAATTCTTATAAGGGAGTTGTACCAAATTGGCGCATTGCCGAAGTGTGTTGGGTTTTCTTCATGGATTAAATTTGACCAGATTTCGATTACTTGGTAAAAGAGTCCTAAATGTTTAAACCAGCCACATCAACTTGCTTCAAATTACCAGTCAGAAGTAGTTTACCGTAATGTTGTTTAATAAAAAAAGTCAAAAAATAGTTTCCATTTTGCTTGAAAAAAATTAAAATTTTAGTATGTACTCGTTACGAAACTCTTATTCGAGCAAAAACGTAAACAAATCTGATAAGACAATACATTTTCTTTGGTAAATAAACCCTCTAGCTTTGGGATAACAACAACTCGTTTGATGAATCTTGACGTCCAGCAATAATGAAGACGATCGATTGCATCACAAAAATTTATTTCCTTACATCTTGTGCTCTATATTTCCTAGATAAAAAAACTATAAAAAGGAATACTGATTTCTCGCACACATAATTAGTTGATATTGTCAATAAGTGCATTTTCCAGCGCAAACAACCTATACAATCCCTAGACTGCGAGCAGGCTACGTGATTGACTGGGCCTTTAGCGACGCTTTGGTATATAAGACGTACTGTATGCTTGTTCTACTGTGGAAAAGTGCGAAGCTTTGAAAGGCTCCTCACTTGAGACAAGGATAAATGTTTTTGAACAATGGCTTTATCCGATCAAATTCAACTATATGCCTTTATAAAGGCTTAAGAGATTATAAATCTTCGCGGAGAAAAAAAAAGAAAGAAAGAAAATCACGTCCTACTTTCAACAAGTCCGTCATCTTGGATCGGGGCGCCATCATGGAGTTAAAAATCTTAAACAAAACAATTCCGAAACTGATTAAAAAGTTTAAAGATTTTGGCTTGAAGGCTCAATAAAATCCAAAATTTCCCTTGAACACTGATTTGACAAACAACACTGAACCAAACTTTTTCCAGGTAGATCTTAGGAAACATCACAAAATTTAAATGTTGTTTGAAATCAGAGCGGGCACCTGTTGCCCCAATTCCTCCCCCCCTCTATCACATAAAGTAATTACCCATTTCCAACATGGAGGTCGATATTCGGGTAAGTAAGGCAAACGTATATTGCATTGTCAACTCCAGGGGTTGCATAGCTGTACAAGCACTGCGCATCATATGGGGCCGTGTAGCTCGGTTTAACGAAAAAGCATAATGTGAATGCGGTGAGGTTGGATCCAACTGCATTTCTTTTGATGGCGTAATTCTCAACGGATTTCCTTGGAAATATCATTTGGTATGCTGTGGATAAACGATCCATATGAAAATGATTAGTTTTTAAACACAGTTTCACTGGACTGGATCAGTTAGGTTAAACCTAAATGAAACAGATCAGAAACAGTGTACGTGTGCACTGAAACCTCTTGATAACCTGAAAATCTCTTCCATGTCTTCCATTAAATAGATTTTAAAATAGCCAAGCTTCTACATTTCTTTTCAAAACGTTGGACAGTTATTTCTTCTCTCGCCACATTCAATGGAGAACGCATTCAATTCTCAGATACTCGATATAGAATTTCGTTAGCACAGACCTTTTACACACGGCATCCCAACTTCTAATTCACACAGTCTCCCGTTAAAACCTGGTGCGCAGCTGCAGTTGTATCCATTCACTCGGTCAGTGCACGTCGCGTTGTTCTTACACGGCTTACTTGCACAGTCATCAATATCTGTTTAAGATACGATGAACATGTTGAGACTCTAGTTTGCTGGTGTTGTGTTTTTTCTTTTGTTATTTACTTATTTATTTATTTATTTATTTATTCATTCATTTATTTATTTGTTTATTTATTTATTTTTTTACAGTTTGCCCCTCCCAGGCTCTGTCTAATGTTGATGAACTCTACAAAACTGGCAAATTTGAGTGTAAGTTCTTACCCTCTTAAAGGGATTAAAAGTGATTCTAAGAACAGTTCAAATTAGTTAAAAATGAATATCAATATGTGTCACCTATTTCACAGTGTGTCCCGCTAAATCGCGGCGCACAGATGCAGTTGTATCCATTCTCTCCCTCAATGCAGCTTCCATAGTTTTTACAAGGATTACCAGCGCATTTAGGCGCTTCTATTCAAAGCAAAGGATCCATGGTCGACTTAAGGTTTAGGAATAGACAAGCCGTTAAATATATTTTTTGGCCGTTAAATGTTGATCATACCATATAGGAGGAAGGAAGGTGCCGTGCACGGACTTACAAAATACTTCCAAGCAACAAATCCGAAGACTTTTCCTAAAAATTAATTTGAAGCAATCGGCTGTGAACCTTTTTGTTCGCATGGTAAAATTTTCCTTAATGGCTAGCATGTTCTAAGGCCCATGTTTGTCCAATTGTGAATTATCGACTTTACTCCGTTTAAATTTCTTGTAGTAGGTGCCGTATTTTAAAGGAACCCTCTCCTGTCTCTCTTACTCCAACGCCTGAATAGTGTTTCGGAAGGTTTTGATTTGATCATGTTTTAGACACAATTATCATGTCATCCTCAAACTTGCTGCTTCCCTCCCAGGCGTGGCTTTTTTTGGAGCCCTTTCTGAATCTAATCTAAATGTCCTTAGGTGTCCTGCGGGGTACCATGAGGGATACGATTCGAATCTAAGGGCCAATAAAAAATGTACCTAAATTTGTCCGTTTGATAAACCGACACCATCTTCTCTTGTCTATCCACAGTTGTGCTCTTTAGATTTTTTTTATTGTCTCTGTGTAGTTTTCTTACCACCTAGCGACCTATTATCCTGTCAAAATTCCTTTGGTTTTAAAGTAAACCTTGACAAATTGGATTCCTGCTACAAGATCGTCCGATTTTGTTAGCCGCTCGTATGTTTACAGACCGAATTGGAATCCACTCATTCCTACACTGGACGAAAAAAGAGTATTTTCCATTGTAGCAAATATACAGCAAACCTACAGCAAACCCACAATTATTCCGATTTGTTCAAATTTGCCGCCAGACAAATATCAAATTTGGCACAGTTTTGCCATTCATAGCAAAGCTTGCCACATTTGATTTAAATATTTTACTCGCCTGCGAAAAGATAGAGTACTCTTTATGTCTTACTTAGTATTTACAGCTGTGCCACAGACGAAATTAAAACTGACGTTTCGTAGGTACTTTGCACAAAGTGCTACAAATTCATCAGATTTGCTTGAGTTTTCAAGTTTAGCAAATCCATATTTTTGTCCAGTGCTAGTACCATTATAAATTTTAGCTTGCAAATGGACGGCCATTTAATATCTACATCTACATTTAATTAGGTCGGTAAAATCGCAAGACATTACACACAGTTTATCACGCTTTCGTACACAATAATACCATTACTTACCCAGTTTCACTTCACACTTTTCTCCAGCCCATGGCTTTTTGCACAAACACGAATAGGTTTGTTTTTCCTCGTTGGACACACAAGAACCACCCTTTGCACAGCCTGTCATTAAACAGCCCTAATAGAAAAAACACAAATATGGAAATTTCTTGATGTTTAATTAAACAAGGAGGCTTAAATTCATTCCTTAGTCGGTCACGTAAGGCGCTGGAGTCTCCATGAGTCTCCCCTTCCACCACCCCTGATTTTTCTTGATATTGAGCTATGTTATTCAAGCAAACAAAACATGGTATCCTTTGAGCGCGTAGTCTAAGGTCGTCACGTTCTTCGGGGCATGTTGTGGGGACAAGAAGCGGGGACATATTTTAGCGACAATATGTCTCCTATGCATTTTTTCAATCATTGGCAAAAAATGTGTAAACACTTTGATAAAATGTTTAGCCTTTCTCGTCGTGCTGGATGGCTGAGAACTGAAATGCAAAACTAAAAATTACCACACTATCGTGAAGTGTCAACCACCGGTCATGTTATTAGCAATTTTTATCCGGCTTGCATTTTGTATTCTTTTGTATAATTCTGAAACCCCATGAAAAAGTGCCTCCTACTGTCTTAGATGTTACTATGGTGGCACATCCAATCGGGCTTTTTAAAGATACGTTTGATAACCAAAGATCTGGAGTAAATGTTAGTTATGTTGATGTTACTTATTGATGGAACAGTTCTTGTTAGATTCCCGCGTAAAGGCGATTTGACATATGTCGGGCCATCTGGTTGAGAATTAATGGTTGTTTCTCAAAACTTGCATTTTCGAATGAATGAGAATACAATTAAGGATTTGCACTACTAGCACGTACCTTAGAAGAATCACAAGTAGCTTTCATAGGATAGACATTTTATTATGTGACTGACCACTTCTTGCTCCCACAAGGGAATGACACTAAGAAATACGTGCATTAGCAAAATGGCCTATTTGGCGCTGCAGTACTAATAAAAAATTAATGAGGTAATTTTCTCAGTCACATATAATAAGGCAGATGAGACCGAAACACTTTAGCTTCTTCTTTGATGGTTATTTTGCTTGCTGTGTATTAAGGAAAAACGGAGAACAAATAGTCGAAATGTAGCGGCTTAAAAGTAACAACTGGTCAAGCTGTGTGGAAGATTTGTTGAGAATTACATGACGCGGCACCGTGACAAGGTAACTGATTTGCATATTGTATTCGAGTTCTCACACGCAAACACCACTCTTAAGCTTGCGTTTTGTTCCGTGCAAAAAAAAAACAAAAACATCGTTTCGATTGGAATTTTCTGTCTCTATTTTAAAAGAAAAAAGGAAATTTATAACAGGAGATAACCAGGAAAGAAGTAATGATGAGTTTTTCGATTTATCTACCAAAGCTGGTCTAATTTTGGATGCCGATCTACCGTTTGTGCTTTGTAATTTGTGCTTTGACATACGTTGGCGCATTTGGTTAAAATGCCATCTATAGTAATTTTTAATTCCACTCAGTGATATTTTCTTATCAAGATATACTTATACTAAAAGAGTTATGACCCTATCAAGTCAGAAATAAAATTGCATTGTAAGAAGATTTTTAAACGGTCAAAAGGTAAAAGAATCGTGCCAGTGTTTATTTCAAGATGATGTCAAGCAAATTATCAAGTCATAGATAACAAACTGCGTAAAAAAATGAAATCAGCCAAGTGTGTGTCTTCCTGTAAACAGTTAAAAATTCTCTGTTTGGCCTTAATTCTATAGGCCATCTTGACTGACCGACCGGTATTTGGAACTTTCCTAGATTTCACAAACTTTGAAATCACTGGAACTTTTAAGCAATATTCCGGAAATACAAGAGTCTTCAGTATTTTTCCTACTGTGGGATTCTCCATATGTACAAAAAGACGGAATATAAAGTCATTAAGCGTGAGCTTTCAACTAGCATGGTTTGTTTACCTATTTTTGACGCTTTTCAACTACTACACCGTCACTTCCGTTGCATACTGATTTGCAAATAAAACTGATAAACTGACAGTTTTTGTAAAGAAAAACTTTTTAAGTATTGCGTATCTTACCTTCAGAAGCATTGAGAATGTAACCCCCTGCTGATCATTTAACTTGGTGTTTTCGTTGATCAGCGTGTTGTCGTGCTTGTTGAGTTCACACGTTCTTTTGCTGTCGTTCTTGGAAGACACCTTGAAGTTTGTGGAACTGCACCATGCGTTTCTCAAACACGACTGGCTGCAAGACATCAAACTTGGAGACTCAAACCATTGAACAACGTGTCCTGTAAGCTGCTTATCTTCCCACGTTATGAAGTACCCTGAATGAGATGTGGAATCTTCATCGGCAGCGAAAATCCTGCTGTATATGGTCCCTTGAAAAAGGAAAAATAACAGAGCGCGTTTGGCTTCCATTACTAACAAGATCTAAACGATTAGCGGATGCTAATCAAATTATAATAGAATTTGTTGGTGGCGATACGGTGCTACGATTGGCCATTTCAGTTTGATTAATATTCGGATCCCTTAAATACGCAAGTAATTAATGAGCCAACGGATGGTCTATTTATTATTCAGCCATGTTATGTAACAGCCTACCAATATTAAAATATATATATACATTTATCTTTACTTGAATGTCCTGTCTATTAGTGGTTATGCAAAGAACATTTGTTATCTTTTTTTTTTCTTTTTGTTCGTCTTAGTTATACATACCAACAAATTATTGCCAAGCATATGCCGACAGGCTTTCCCACTAGTTCGACATTCAGTCGCCAGTAACTAAATTGTTTGAATATTCCAACATTTAATTTAGTGTTTAGGCTTTTTATCTGTTACCAAGGGATCAGTAAAGTCAGTAATCAAGCGTATCCTGGTGTACACGACGCGTCCGCTGATTGAGTTCAACAAGTACAAAGTATTGAAAATTCGGGCTACAGGTCTTTCAGACTCTGTAAAATTCGGTTCAGTAAGTCCATGATGTCTTCTGTCGGTAACGGTAGTTTAACAGTAGATTGTTGTATAGCGGTCTCGGTACACTGTAGTGCCAATTGAAGGGGAATACTGGTGAACAGTGATTTCACATCAAAAGACACAAGTTTGTAGTCGTCAGGTATCTGTACTGTCTTAATAGCGTCAATAAAGTTCTCCGTAGATTGTAGTTTACGTCTTGATTTGTCAGTAAGGGGTTGCAGTATTTTCGTCAAGTACTTAGACAGTTGATACGTAGGGGACCCACAGAATGACACTATAGGTCGCATCGGTATGCCAGGTTTGTGCAGTTTCGGTAATCCGTAAAGTTTCGGTGGTTGAGGTACTGAGCACCTCAGTCGATAGTAGCGTTGTGTGTCGAAGCGTCAGTCTTTTTTAAGCGTAAGTATTTTGCTGTTAAGTTTACCTTGAAGTGCTGGCGTCGGGTCGCGTTTAAGTTCTTCGTAAGTTTGTTTGTCGTTAACAAGTGCCTCCATTGTGTCAAAGTAGTCAGCCTTGTCCATAACAACAGTGACACGTCCTTTGTCGGCTGGTAGTATAACAATGTTGCTGTCGTCTTTCAGTCGTTTGAGTGCTTGGTTTTCGTGTTTTGTCAAGTTATTGTCAGGTATAGAGGCTGATTGTACCGTGGAAGCAATTCTGCTCCCGATGTTATCCTTGGCAGATTCTGATAAGTCTCGCTGACGAGGCAGAACCGCCTCAACACTAGATACAATAGACTCGGTCGGTATCCGTTTAGGCGTCACTGAGTGTTTTAGTCCGTAGGACAGTACGTGAGTCTCGGTTTT